GGGAACCACGCCATTCAGCGCTTGGGGCTCTGAGGGTGTAGGATTCAGGGGTTTGGCGGATCTTGGCTTCGGCTGTGCAGCCCTTGGAATAGCCTTTTAACCTACTTCTGAGGGTTTAGGTAATATCCAAGACGCAATCGGGCTACACCTGAGCCTTGGGAGAGTTCGCTTCAGTTACTGGTTGAGTTTCAGATTTGTTTCCTTGGCCTTCGAGGCTATATGCCCCGAGGTCATCCATCCCTGCCATGTCTGAACCGACAACGTGTAAGAGAGATCAGAAACTTGAATTTCGGTGCACTTGAAAGAAGACCACTCATGCTTTGCCATTGTGAAGCCGTTTGTGGGAATCCCTAAACCCTAAACCCTTCGGGGGGGATCCTATTCTCTGTTTTTTTTAAGGGGGGCTGTTTCCCAGCGTGTGGCATGAACTTGGTGTAGGTCATTGGCCTCGCGCTTAAATCCCTTGCGAAGCCGCGCCTGAACTTTAGGTACTTAGGGTTTGGGCTTCGGAATTGAAAGATTTGGGGTTTCAAGTTTAGGGTTGCAGTTGGGGAAGCTTCTGAGCCCCTGTCCACAAGCTCGAACGCCGACCCCTGAGGCCCAAAACCCAGCCCCTAACCCCTAAAGCCCCTAAATCCTAAACCCTAAGCCCGGCTTGCAGCCCTAACTAAATCACCTTGGTAGTGTTGGGGAGACCCTTTGAAGGGTACCCATCTTCACCCTACTTAATTATGGCTCTCTTAGAAGGATCTTATTCAGAGGGTCTAGCCCCCGCATGGAGCTTTAAGCTCCAGACCCTATATGGGTTTAGGGTTTAGGGTGCTGGAGCTTTAAACTCCAGACCCTATATAAACATGGCTTTCGTTGGCCTCTTAGTTGGCCCGTGCTTTCTTTTGCTTTTGTTTGCGTGAGTTTCCTTACAGCACTACACGATTTTAATAGGGGATCCTACTTGGGCGTTGAAGAACATAGCCCCTCTATCTATCTATCTATCTATCTATCTACCTGTCTATCTATCTATCTATCTATCTATCTATCTATCTATCTATATATATATATGCCACTATATATCCCTATATCATACCTGATATAGATCCCTGCAGCCGGAGTAGTGTTATCAATCAACAGCTGCCTCTTGTCCGCCACACTGAAGTAGATCCTAGGGCTTCCGTGTTTTGAGGTTTAGGTTGGGCCCGAGGGGTTTGCTAGTCGTGTTCCTTCTAAGCCACTAGTCTCCACGCCACCTAGTCTCCAAGGTGGTTGTCAAAAGCCTCGGGGACACGCTTACACAGGATGATGATTCGCTGCCGGAGACCCATTGTTGCTTCGCGATGCACCACTGCAGACTATGGCTGAACCCACTCCTCACTACTCGGTGCAACACTATCGGTGCAATTTAAAGTGCGCACGAAGGTGCGTGGGTATCTATGTTGGGTTCCACAATGCATTCTTGATACGATATTTTTAATGAGCCAGTAAGGTGCTGCTTGTCTTCATTTTTCATGTGCTTACACGCTTGACGTCAGATAGCCTTAATTAACGATGTTTTGGAACATAGGGGGCTTCCCTAAGGGTCCACAAACAACCGAACAAATCAACATACAGACATGCATACATACGTGCAGTTCTTTATGTATATGTATATTGTTATTTGTGGTATTTATATCTAGTTACATGTCTATTTCTGTATGTGTGTATGTATATATATATATGGTTATACGGTATATATGACTTGTGTGCTTCTTTGCTTACGTGTTTGTGTGGTGCTTGTTTGTTTGTGCCAGTAGCTTGATCAAATTTACCATCTGCTCATGTTTATTATTGTGTTGAGTTGGAGGGTTTATTGTTTATTAAATAGTCATTTATTTGATCATTTGTGTATTTTGCCGACGCATTTAGATGTGGATCCTAAACCCTAAAGCCTATAAGCCCTAAGCCCTCAACCCTTAAATCCTAAACCCTATACCCTATACCTTTTTAGCCCCATAAGCCCTATAAGCCCCATGAGCCCTAAACCCATCCTGCTATTCCGTGTTCTTTCTCATTGGGCTTCCTGGCTTTCCGAAGCTCGCATCGGAGTAGTTCTCTAAATGTAGGGGTCCCCTTTTAGTTCCGCAATGTGGTACGACACTCTTGTCACAAGACCCTAAAAGGGACCCTGATTTAGAGAACTACTCAAATTAATGCTGACACTATTTTGGGGTTCCTTCTTATAACTAAAGTATAATGTGCCCCACAACCCTAGTCTAATTATTAAGGCAGGCCCTATCTTACGCCCATAAGTGGTGGGATCTCCGTCTCTAGACCGTGGAAAGGAGCCTGCAATGACAAGCTCCACGCTCCGAAACTCTAGGGCGGCCGATAAGCAAACGCCTGCATTACCCTAAGGGTCCATGTACCCAAATAGTACATACATTGGCCTTCATGTAATCCCTATATAGGTACTTTAGGGCCAATGTATCTACTATTTGGACCCTTAGGGTTTGCCTTGCTGTAAGTACCCCAAGGTTTGGACAGATCTAGTAATCCAGTGTTTTTTCCTGAACCTGGATAATGCAGGGAATTTGCCTATCAACCCTGCAAATGTTAGGGTTGTAGGCCTAGTATAGCTTCTAAACCCTAAACCTTGGCTAAGGGGCGACTCGGCGTACATCGGTGACGCGATCAAAGCAACGAGCAAAGCTTCGCTCCGCCTTGGGCCCAGGGATTTAGGGTTTCGGGTTTAGGATTTAGGGTTTAGGGCTCTAAACCCTAAACCCCTAAACCCTAAACCTTAGGATTTAGGGTTTAGGGTTTCGGGTTTAGGCCCAGGGAGCAAATTTTAGGGCTTAGGCCCAGGGATTGGGGTTTAGGTTGTTTCGGATTGTTGGTTTCGTTCTAGAAGTACTTGTGATACTACTAGTACTTCTACTACTACTACGGCTGATGATCTAAACTCTGCATTACCCATAATACGGAATATACCATATAATTCCCATAGTTTAGGGTCCTTAATGTAATGCTTGATTTCGATCATCAACAGTACTACTAATACTACTATTACTTCTGCTAAACCCTAAACCCTAAACCCTAAACCCTAAATCCTAGACCCTAAACCCGGTATGTTGCAACTACACGGCTGAGCGAGATTCTTGTTTAAGGCCCGCCTTGCGAAGCTCTGAGAGCCTTATCCCCCGTTTTGGGTTTAGGTTTAGGGTTTAAGCTTTAGGGTTTAGGGTTCAGGGTTTAGGGTTTAGGGTTTCGGTTAAGGTTTAGGGTTTAGGGTTTAGGTTTTAGGGTTTACGGTCGAGGGTTTATGTTGGTGACATCATGCTCGTTGACAATGGACTAGCAGCCGATTGGATGAGCAAGTAGGCCATTGTCACTGGCCTCAATGAGCAAAAGCCTAAACCCTAAGTCCGAAACCTTAACCCAAAGGTAGTGTAGGGTTTCTATATTAGGATTTGTTATTATGCTTTGGGAAAGTGTGCCCCATATCAGTACATTATACTATATAGGTACTTTGGAGCCTTTGGGTATACCAGAATCTTGAACATGTTTCGTCACTTCAGCACAGCAAGAAGACGGACCGAGAAGCATAGTCCGCTGAGACCTAGGTGTTAAAACTGTAAACACCCTAACTCCTATAATGGAAGGATCAAGAAAAGAGCGAAAAACAAACCCTAGAGTGCTTATAACACCCCAAGAGACCCTTGGAAACCCCCCTTAAACAGCTCCTTCAAAACTTATGCAGTCCTAATACGTAGCTCCTCGAAAACCTGCAATCGTTCAAAGGGGCCTAATAAGGGAACAGCATCGCAGCGCTCAGGCGCAGTTTGTTGGGTTGCACGGTTGTACGGTTGATTATATAAATCCTGCATTACCCATCGTAAGGAATATACCGTAATTCCCATAGTTTAGGGTCCTTAAGGTAATGCAGGATTCCGATCATCAACAGTAGTGATGGCATGACGACAAGGGATTTGAATGTGAGGGTTCAGGTACGGGTCTAGGTTTTGGACCCAGATCAAAGGCTGTGTGTTCAAGTCCGGAGAGTAATCGCCAACATCACCGAATTGGGCTCAAACGCCATCCGAACCAGGCGATCTTTTCAGATCCATATAGGGGTCACTGTTGGGGCAATGTGAAGGATCCTATATTATTTCAGGTCAAGGATCCTGTTATTTAGGGCTCCATAATATTGTTTGCGGTGATGGGAAACGCAGCGTCCTGGCGGCACCGTGCCGCGCTTTCTCTCCTTCCCGCCTGCCTTCCCAAGCGTCGCCCACTCCAGGCCGAGGAAGAGGCAGATTCCAATGAGGGTTTTCTGAGCTGTGCTGAGTGTGTCCGAACTGCGGCGAGGGTCTTTTGCGGTGGCGAGCATACGCTGATCCGAGATCCTAAGACACTGGAGGTCTACCAGCTAGGTGCATGTGGGCTCGGCTTCGATCATGACGCCGGAGCTTCAGCACAGGCTGACGACTACTTGAAACAGGTGCGCTTATCAGAGCCAGCCATCGCAGTGTTTCCTGCACCATGGGTACTATCACAACTTCATTAAGACCACGCGAAGCTGCTTCACCTACGGCTGCGGTCGTCAAGCACCGAATGATGGTCAGCTCCTGAACGGCAGCCTGAGCGAAGATACCTGGCCCACGTCCACAAAGCTGCGATTTGCTGAGGCCGCAGCAGGAGGTGGCACGGTTCTTCTTGTAGTTGTTTTGAGGGTTTAGGGTTTCCGGTTTAGGGTTTCGGGCTTAGGGTTTAGGGTAATTATGGTCCATTTTTGAGTCCCAATAATCCTGTCCTCCTCCTTGCAAGAAGGGTGCCCGAAAGAGCATCGATAACTTCCTTTCAGCACATGAAAAATCTGCATTTCTCTTTGAAGTCCTCCTTTAAGGATTCCTTTGAGGGTTCCTGCACAGGTTCCTATAAGTGCTCTCTGCCAGTAAGGACACCACAGCATCTGCCGGACTCGCAACGGAGACGTGTGGGCTTCTGGTGCTGGATGGCAGGGCCAAATGGGGAATGGTAGCCTTCAGTATAAGAATGAGAAGCCACAACGTGTAGACAGTCTGCCCAGGATATGTCGGATCGCGACAGGTTACTACCACATCGCAGCCTTGGCAGAAAACGGCGAGTGGTTTTTTTGGGGTTGCAACGAGCAGTTGCAGCTGGCCTCTTCGATCGCAGATCCACAGATCAAGACCCCGCAGCCTTTATCAAAGCTACTCCCTGAGCTGAAGGACACCTTTGAGGGTTGTTGGTTTAGGGTGCTTTCAAGGCATTAGAGTTCCTTTCCTTTGAGGGTTCCTTTAAGTTGCAGGATAGAGAAATCACCAGCGTGGATGGCGGCTACGGCCACACGGTCTTGCTTACACGCGAGGGCACCGTCTACACCCTGGGGAACCACAGCGAAGGCCAGCGCGGCTTGGACCCTGACTTAGACGAGCCTCCTCCGATTAGCCCGGTCTTGGGCTTGACTGGAGCTTCAATGGCAGTTGCAGGTAGCCATCATACGCTGGTGCTAGCGCAAGGCCGCGTCTACGGCTTCGGGTCTGATGAGTTCGGCCAAGTGCGCGGTGCGGGAGAGCCCCTGGACGAAGACCAGCGCGTCTGCAGACCTCACGCCGTGGCTGGCCTGCCGGAGGAGGACCCCGTCGTTCGGGTGGATGCCGGGATTTGCCATTCAGCTGCCGAAACGGCCTCGGGGCGCATCTTCCTTTGGGGATGCGGAGGCAACGGCCAAACGGGAGATCCAACGCTGCCCTCCAGCTCTCGAATCCGAGAGCTTCACATCAGCGACCTGTCGAAGCGATGCACCAAGCAGCCGCAAGGGGGTAAATGACCCGAGCGGGAAGCGCAGAATGTAAAAGGCCATGTGCCACTAAGCGGATGTAAACATAGCATGAACTGCCTTTATGTACATGTCTGTCCTTTGTGCCAGCACCGGCACCCGTCTCGGGTGTCCAGGTCCCCGGGTGTGCTCGTCGCCACCGGAGCCCACGCTTCGGTTTCGGAGTTCCATGTCCCAAATGCATCGTAGACCGAATCCTCGTAGCTGTGAGTCTGCACGACTAGACCCCCAAAGGGTCCTAGGTACTGTGCTGGGGGATACTTTCCTAAATCATAGTAACAATTCCTAATTTAGGAACCCTACATTATACTATATAGGTACTTTGGAGCCTTTGGGACCCCTAAAGGTGTGCGCCACACCATTTTTACCGAGGAACACCTGATCCTCTCGCTGTGTCACATCCAACCCTAAACCATGAAGCCCTTAAGCCCAAAACCCTAAATTCAGGTGTCCTCGTGGTGGTGCCTCGTGACGTCGCCGTAGCGTCGGGATCCCAACTGGGCCTCGGGATTCGGAGTTCGGCGTTCAGATGCTTTTCGCCTAGACCCAACATACCCTAAAACCCTAAACCTTATAAACCCTATAAACCCTAAGCCCTAAACCTACAAACCCCTAAACGGGGAAATCCTGAGCCCTTTATAAGCCCCTAAACCCTACAACCCTAAGCCCTACCTGGTAAAGAAGCTGTTCAGGGCTCCTTATTATGATTTCTTTATATATAAGTCCTAAAACGGTAATTCTTTGGGGTGAAGGTAACACCTGAAACCCTAAAACCCTAGGCGCCAAACCATTAGAGCTAATCCCCCTTAGAGCTAATCCCTAGTTCAATGTCAAGCTTTGAAGTCAAGCCTTTGCCACTGTCGCGGCTTTTGCCGTGTGCGCGCCTTGGAAAGTGCGTCGGATTCCGGTTTTGCGGCAAGGGTTGTGGTTTCCAGGTTCTGAGTGCTCCCAGTCCTTGGCACTCAAGTGTAGTTTACTCTTCACGCTGCCTTATCATTCCTATCCTTAAGGCCCGAAGGGTCCTAGGTACTGTTACGGGGGATGCTTCCCCGCAAGGGTCTAGGGCTAAAGTTTAGGTCCTGTTTCGGAAACTCTATAGGGTTTAGGGTTGGGCCTGTCTGGCAACCCGAAACCCTGAAGCGCAAAGGCCGTGAACCCCGTCCTCTTCGAATTCCAGAGGCCCCTATGCGAAAACCCCATAAACCCACAGCCTATCCCTAAACCCTACCTGGACCTCAAAGGTATGTAGAATAATGGCCTTTTATGGGTCTTGGGCCATTATTTTACCTGCTTTTGGGGGTTTAGGTAAACCCTAAAAACCCTAGACCCAAAAGCATATGGAGGCCCTTGCTCACGCTCTTCGTGGACATTGCGCTTGGCGTCGTCGTCGCACCCTTTGCCACAGGGGCAGCTGGGCTGCAGACGAACCCAGAGAGCCCAATATTTCATAATTAAGGAATATATACCTTAAATCATAATATTCAGGCCCCTATATAATTTAAGGTACATTCCTTATTTAAGGGGTATTGGGCTCTCTGGGAACCCAAGGCGTCGGGAACTCTAGGCTGGGCTGGGGGAGATGTAAACCGATGCACCAACCGACCTGGACCCCCAAAGAACCTACCTTTCTTGGGTTCTAACTGTGGTTCCTATCTATCGATCTATCTATCGATCGATCTATCTA